GAGAAGGAATAGCGGTACCACCTCTTACTGCAAAAGAAGGGAGGGAAGCCCAGTAAGAGGTGCGTCATGTGATAGCAAGAGCGAGAGCGAGTGCAAGGGCCACGGCGTGTCACGTGCGTGACAGTAAGTGGGAAGAGCGTAGCATGATGGATGAGTGGGACAAAGACTGCGTGCAGGATGGCGATAGGATGGGGCAATGTGCGCATACGAGCGAGTGGGAGGAACACCGTGTGTATAGGCGTGTGGGAGGGGCGCTGTGTGCTGGAGGGCCATTACGAAGACAGCCGCATGCAGGAGGGCCGCAAGGAGCCCCAAGTAAAAGAGGGGCAGTGGGAGAAGGGCTGCATGCGGGACAGCACCCCCACTTAACTGGCCTCCTCAACCCAAGATACCCATACACGCATGCATGCAAGCACTCCCGCTTTACTCGTCCCCTCGCCCCGTGAATCACACAAACACATGCAAGCCCTAGGTCCGGTCGTTTTCCGAGAGTGCTTCTTACGTCCTACTTACTCTCAGCACCAGTACTGGACTTATATATCTACATACGCTACCATATTCCACGGCTCCTGCGGCGGTTCCGTGTGGATTTCATCTTCCAACAATCACAGTGCGCTCCTACTCGCGTCCAATTTTCTTATCACATGCAAGCAACCATGCTTCCCAAGCCCCCTCGCCCCATGCAACCCACACACGCACAATATCAGTACGTTCCTCCTCGCGGCCAGTTTTCTTAACACATGCACGCAAATCCGCTTTACGCGCCCCCTCGGCCTATGCAACCCACACACGCATGCCCGCACCCCCGCTTTACTTGCCCCGCCCCTCGCCGCATGCAACCAACGCACACATGCAAGCACTTCCGCTTTACGCGCCGCCTTACCCCATGTAACCAACACACTCACGCATGCACGCACCCTCGCTTTATTCGCCCCCTAGCCCCATGCAACCCCCTTATGAACGCATGCAAGCATCTCCGCCCCCTCACCCCATGCGAACCACACTCGCACGCATGCAAACACCCGTAGCTTTACGCGCCCTCTCCCCCATGCAACCCACGCCAGCACACATGAATGCATTTCTGCTTTACTCGCACCTTTGGCCCATGCAACCCACTCACGCATGCACGCACTCCCACTTTACGCGCCCTCCTGCCCAACGCAATCAACACTCGAACGCATGCAAGCACCGTAGCTTCACACGCCCCCTCACTCCATGCAACCCACGACAGCGGACATGCATGCATTCCCGTTCACTCGCCCCCTTGCCCCATGCAACCCATACTCGCACGCATGCAAGCACCCGTAGCTTTACGCGCCTCCTCGCCCCATGCAACCCACGCCCGCAGACATGCATGCATTCCCGCTCTACTCGCACCCTTGGCCCATGCAACCCACGCACGCATGCATGCACACCCACTTTACCCGCCCTCCTGCCCAACGCAATCCACACTCGAAAGCATGCAAGCACTGTAGCCTCACGCGCCCCCTCACTCCATGCAACCCACAACAGCGAATATGCATGCATTCCCGTTCACTCGCCCCCTCGCCACATGCAACTCATACGCGCACCCCCGCTTTACTCGCCCCCTTGCCTCATGCAACCCGTGCACGCACGCATGCACCCCCTCTAATACTCGCCCCCTCGCTCCATGCAACCCAGACAGGCACGCATTTAAGCACCTCTGCTTTACTCGCCCCCTCACCCCATGCAACCCATACTCGCACGCATGCAAGCACCCGTAGCTTTACGCGTCCCCTCGCCCCATGCAACCCACGCTCGCAAACATGCATGCATTCCCGCTTTACTCGCGCCCTTGGCCCATGCAACCCACGCACGCATGCATGCACCCCCACTATACTCGCCCCCTAGCTTCGTGCAACCCACGCATGTAAGCAACTCCGCTTTACTAACCCCCTTATCCCATGCAACCCATGCACACACGCATGTAAGCAACCCCGCTTTACACACCCCCTCGGCCTATGCAACCCACACACGCATGCCCGCAACCCTGCTTTACTTGCCCCGCCCTTTGCCCCATGCAACCCACACACGCATGCAAGCCACCCCTCTTTACTGGTAGGGCCGCCATGTGAGCGTGTGCATTTAGGCGTGTTGAATGCACGTGAGCAGTAAGCAACACGGGTGGCGTGCTGGGCAATACGATATGGGCCTGACATTTCCACAGCCCTTCACCTGTCAAAGGAGGCCCACTAACGAATGCAGTTCAGCCCGATTTGCAGACAGATAATAAAGGACTAGAAACAAGGCGCGATAATCTAAAATTGGCAAGCAAGGCCCTCCGAAAAAAGGACATCCTATGTCCGTTTTTAGTACGACAATTGTCACTACTTGCCTTTTTACTCCAGCGACGGTGTCGGGTTGCCGCGAAAACAAAACGGTACGCACTCATATTTCTGCCAGCAGGGCTTAAGTACAGACGATTGAAAGGCAAAACGGACCCGAGCACACTGCGATGCCAAAGCAACTTTCGACAACCACTAACCCACGTCCGAACAAAGCTATTCTGCATAGCATTTATGATGTCTGAACTTATGATGTATAAATGAGCTGTTAGCAGGACGATAACGTTGTCTTAGGTTGACTGATATACGTATCGCGAACGGCCACACCACGTTATCAAAATGCAGCATTTGAACTTGCCATGTGGCGCCTAAGCCATGTAGGAGACCCTCGCTAAAGAGCACCGCAGGCGAGTGCGACTACATCCCGACTTCAAGCAAGGAGTCGACTCGACTTGCACACGGATACAAAGAAATATGACCAGCCACTTCACGTAGACACCCTGACATCCTGACGCTAACAGAAGCCGGTCGGCCGTATAAGGTGGAAGTCGTGAGATGGCAACGAAAGTAATTCGAAGCAAAGTAAACGGGGAAGCCAGCTTGAAGTAGTGCATGACTATTTCTATGTCTAGTAATAGCGGTACCTTCGCTTACTGCAATAGAAGAGAGGGAAGCCGAGTAGGAGGTGCGGCATGTGAGTGAGGGCGAGTGGAAAGGCCACCGCATGTTTGACGGCGCGTGCGTGGAGCGTAGAATGATAGAGGGTGAGTTGGACAAAGGTGGCAAGCGACAGGGCGATTGGGTGGGGCGCTGTGTGCGAAAGAGAGCAAGTTGGAGGCATGTATACGGGAAGGCAGCATGGGGAAACAGCACCCCCCCAAACCCCACCACACCCCACAACCCAAGTTGCGACGGCCCCCCCCTGGCACGCCCCGCCATGTCCGTGTGTCCGTCCGTCCGTCCGTGTGTCCGTAACGTCAAAACATATAAACTAGGCAAACTATAAATTGCACCTAATAGATATTTGTTATTTGTATATAGTAAAAATAACTGGAAGCCAAACAAACATGATTTCGCAATAAACAATTTATTGACCAGCCATCGAAAAGGACCACCTCGGCAACACCGATTAGCGCTCCTCTTTGGTGTGTCCTGGTACCGTAAACAGTATTTAGTGAACTGGTAACAGCGGCGTGCCGGTAAAGGGCTACTTTTGAAAGCCGGCAGGAGCATGCTTGTGTTCATCGATTGTGCTACGCTGAGCCCACACAATCCTTTGAGACGATGTTGCCGGCCTTTGCTATTCGTTTGCGCGCCATAATGCCTATGAACTGTAACGCAAACAGGTACCTCGCCTAGAAGCTAATCGCGATGTTCCGGTGCAATTGCCGAAGTCCTTAAGAGCACGATGCCGACATTGCTGAGCCTGACCTCCTCATCATTTTAGTAATGTAGGTGAAACCTAAACGACCTGCGGGACCCTGAAAGCTCTCCCATGTGGCAGTTTCGCCGTCGATTTGGGTTCTGTAGCCTAATGCGTGGGTGTTATCGAGCATGATAAGATGTTACTGAGTACTCCATTAAACAGGTGTAACCTAACAATGATTGCAATGAGCGAGGACACTATGTACACCATGGCGGCCGGCCTCGCCTGGACAAGGGGCTCTGAGGTCGTCTAGCCATGCAACGAACACTCCAACTACAGTAAACAAGGGGGTTCAGTGTCCGCGTCCGCGTACAGTAAGCAATGGGGTTCAGCGTCCGTGTAAGAAGGTGTGTTACGTCAACTGGCCATGGAGTCACAGGAGCACACTCCGTGCCATTCCAGTGTTACGTTCCTGTACTCAACAGGAGGGGCTCCACCCTTTTCCAGCTTTGAGGCAGCTGAACCCCCTTGTCTGGGTTAAGCTCCATCTTAGCATGCTAATATGGACCTAACGCCATTTTTGCTTACACTGTGGTTAGCCCTTCTTAACCAGTATTGTCCGAGCTTAGCCAGGATTAGCCCCAAGTGGCTGCGGGGCCAATACAGAAGAGTTCCAGCACACAGTAAGCATGCAAATATGAGGATAAAGCGGGTCTCAACAAAGCCGTTTCCCAGCCAGACACGTCCTAGCATACATTACCCCCCATAGATAAGAGTGTATATGGCCTAGTCTGGTGCCAGCAAGACACATCAAGTAGCCGCGCCCATACACCAGCCTGATCACCTAGTGTCACCGAGGTCCGCATTCTTGGGCCCCAATCTCTCTTCCTGCCTGTGACAGAAAGGGGGCGCACCTAAACCGTGTGTGTAGTTCAGGAGCTGCTCCGAACTATTACGGTCATCTTAGGTTCCTGTTGGCGGCTATCTGATAGCACTGGCATAAGTAAGAATTGGCGACACACTACATCGCATGCAAGCTGGTGACCAGCTAGCAGGGCCACGACAGGTGGCGAACCAACACCATCGTTACTGCTTGCATTTGTTGTTAGACATGCACAGCCCCGAGTCACAGGGCTGCGCGGCCTTTGAGCTGCAGTTGTACGGCAGAGATGCCCAATACACCGTACTCACAACTACCAGGAACTCTTAGCGTTTCTTGGCCAGTTCAAATGGGTTAGAATATAATCTGCAGATAATTTACCTACACACTCGCGGTTCACATGAGAACCTATCCCAACTGCTTGCTCTTGTTCTACTTAACTACACAGGATGCAACCAAGCATCTTCTGAGGGACTACCCGGAGCACATGAAGCGGTTCCCACTGAAAGGTGTCGAAGTTGATTTTTCGAACACGAAGCTTGGAGATAAGCACATGGAGTCTTTGGGCAAGATGCTTCAGATCAGTGATCAAGTCAAGAGCTTAACCTTATCAGGCGAGTTCTGTGTGGCGGCGGCACCTACCTGCTGGTTGGGACTTATATTTTATGTGTTTGTGGGTAGATATGGGGTTGTCATGCACACGTTACTCCATGCAGTGTGCGTGGGTGGATTATCTTCCATACCAACGGACCCTACACCTTAATCCCCTGATATCTGTCCAGAAGCCTTTCTCCAAGAAAACGAAAGAGGGATAACCAACTTGGAATCGTATCATCAAATTGAACTCATTCCCTGTGGTCGCCTCCCACCATCAAACTATGAATGTATGTGCATGCCAACAACCATTGTAACTAGGTATGTAGTTATGTCTAGTCTTCCCCAACGTTGTTGTCCTATCGAGCTCTAAGCGCCATGGATTTTGCACGCAGGCAATCATGACATTGGTGAGAGTGGCATGAAGCACCTGTCAGATGCTTTAGGGCGCCATGACGGTTTGGACGTGCTCAACATCGTGGGTGTGCCGTTAACGCGCAAAGGTTTAGAATATCTCACTGAGGCCCTGAGGATAAACCCACGAGTTCTGTCTGGTGGCCTGGGCATCATCCAAAACGTTGTCAAGCAAGACCCTGATGAAGTTGATGGCGCCACTGATCCAAGGACAATTCACCCAGATGATGCTCCCGTGGAGGTCATCAATCTTGAACTCATCATGGCAATGGCCAAGCGTGGTGCAAGCCTAATGTGCTACACAAACACGTTGACGCGTGAGGCAAGTAAAGACACAAGCACTGCAGCTAGAGGATTGTGTCTTTCAAACCTAGCTAACTTTCTATAACTGACGAATTTTGTCCTGATGGATTGACTAGGCGTTTATACACGCTGATGTATAAAGGGTGAGCTTAAACCCTTGTCACAGTCAAGTCCGCCTTTGTGGCTGGTATCTGTGCATACCACAGGCTCAGGCAGCCCTGGGCTTTGGCGACCAGACTGATAACCAATCAGTGGACAACAAGCAATCACTGAGTGACAAGGGCTTAATAGATGTCGTGGCTGCATGGAAGCGGATTGATTTGGATAAAAGGGCGGAGGTGAGATGTGTCAGTCTATGTTGTCCTGCCGTTGACATGAAAGGACGCCATAGAAGGGTGCTTGTGTCAACGGAAGGGTGCCCTCAGTAACACCGTACCTTACTTTCTCCTCTTCACAAGCATACTGTGCGTTTCCTATACGCTCTGTTTGCACTCAGCAAGGGGTAACATGCCTTCCTCGTTACCCCCTTGTTTCCCACGCATTTACGTATGTGAGTAGTATGTAACTAGTTGCTTATCTGGTGCGAAACTGCAGAAGGACCTCGTGGAGTTGCTACTGCTCAACCCCGAGGATGCGGAGGGATACCCGTGGAAGGAAGCTGATGTCAACCTCGCTAGGAAGGGACTTGTCTCAAAACACATTCCCTCACTCATTAAGATGCTAGAGCTTGGCCCGACTGACATCCGAACACTTGATCTTTCAAGTAAGCTTGTTGCAGGGGGTGATACATGTATTGGGACATTGGTTAACTTACGTGCAGTCCTTTATCCTACTGAACATGCAGGCAAAGCACGGGCATTACTTTGTGACCAAATTGTGCATGGATGCCACTAAAGTTTGACATACGTGTAGTGTGTCTGTTTCCATTCATTTGCTGCTCCGTCCAAGCGTACTTTTGGTAATAATCATAAGGGCTTGCATTCCAGGTAACCCCCTCGTTGGCAACGAGGGCATAGCGTGTCTGGCGAGCGCCCTCAGGGGCGGCAAGCTCAAAGCCGTTGAAACCGTTTACATCAGGAAAATTGGCCTCACGGATATTGGCATGAGGGACTTCGCCCCGGCTCTGCCCTTCCTCAAGGTCTTGGACTTGTCAGGTGCGCTGTTGGTTGTAAGGAGTGGCTGCTGAACACCTTCTGCAGCCAGTTTTTTGCATCAGCGGCAAAGGTAGATGAAGTGCGTATATTGTGGTGAGGTTCCAGTATTTGCAATGCAGGGAACCATATTGGCGATAACGGCATAACGGCTCTGACCGGCCAGCAGCTAATCAGCATGACAGCCCTTTACTTCAAGGAAACTGGTCTCACGGATGTTGGCGTCCGGCATGTCGCACGGGAGTTGCAATCACTATCAAACATAAGGGTCTTGGACTTGTCAGGTGCGCTGTTGGTTGTAAGGAGTGGCTGTTGAACACCTTCTGCAGCCAGTTTTTTGCATCAGCGGCAAAGGTAGATGAAGTGCGTATATTGTTGTGAGGTTCCAGTATTTGCAATGCAGGGAACCATATTGGCGATAACGGCATAACGGCTCTGACCGGCCAGCAGCTAATCAGCATGACAGCCCTTTACTTCAAGGAAACTGGTCTCACGGATGTTGGCGTTCAGCATGTCGCACGGGAGTTGCAATCACTATCAAACATAAGGGTCTTGGACTTGTCAGGTGCGTGTGTGAAGTGCCTTTCAATTAGTGGAGTTTTGATTTTCCAATCCATGTGCTGCTCTGGCAACTTGCCTCTGCGAGGTCGCCACGCATGTTACTCCAGCCATTTCTTTGCGTGACCAGCATTGACATATGCGTTCCACAATATAGGCAACACCATCACAGAAGGAGGCATACGGAGCCTGGCCGATTTGCTTGAACAGCACTGCTGCCTCATGGAGTTGCGCCTTGATGGGGTGCCGTTTACCCTAGATCAGTCTCGATACCTTGGGAGGGCGCTTGTGCGGAATCCTACAGTTTTGTCTGGAGGAACACTTTCCATCTCAGGTGCCGGCGATGAAGCCGTCTGCAGTCTGCTGTCCGAGTTCATGCAGTGCCGAGGAGCGACGCTAAATTGTAAGGCCAGCTCCATCGTTTTCAAGGTAGGTCGAATGGAATGCTTGACATCATCCTATGTTACCTAGGGTGCAGAAGCGCCAAACAATTGCAACCTTCCTATGTAACGTTTGCCAAACTATGCATGCAATACCGTCATTCAATGTAAAGCATGTGATGCACTACATGTACAGTTGTGACACATACTCCTGTAACACAGAAAATCCCTTACCTGAAACCCTGCCATCACGTCATGTCCCAACCTTCAGGCTACGGTCTGGATGCAAGCTTATGCCCATGTCAGCAGCACCTTGGCAGCTAAGGCGGGTCTCATCTGCAGGGGTTCATGCAGATCACGTGCAGACAACGTGACTGAGCTATACGATGAGAGTGTCTTAAACCTGTTCGACGGTATGTCGGGCCAGATGGATAAATTGGCTGTTTCTGGGCATGGCGTTTAGCCATAGCTACATGCATTGCAGTGCACGTGCAAGCCCTTGAGTAGATGTACTTTAATGGTAACAATGTCGGGGTTTCAGGGTGCAACCCGAAATGTATACCGTGCTTATAATTTAAATGACCTTTGCCTTGGGGACTTTGAATCTCAACATTCTAAAACTGTTCAGAAAGGTTGGGGCTTTTTTGCAAAGTCGGTTGTACAGCAAGGGTTGGAGAGGTATCTTTGGGAATGTAAGGCCGACACCCTTGGTTCGTGTGTAGTAATCCCACGCTGTCAAGCATGCATTGCCCAGCCATCTTATGTACAGCGTGCACTGCGCATTAGCTATCCACATAACTTCACTTATGCTATGGTTCTGCGCTGTCTTCCCCGGCAGGTCGCTTAACTACCAAATGGGTGGACTTGGAATCAGATTTGGGTTGGAACGGCCGGAATTTCACCTGGGTGGAGTTCAAACTTCCAGAGGATGACCCAGTAAGATGTAACGGGTGGGAAGTGATTGATTTGTTACCCATTCCAACCAACACCCTCCATGCATGCATTAAAGCAGTATTGTGGCTTGATACGGTTACTATATCCCCGCTAACTACTGCTTTGCCATCAACAGGCTGTCCGACTTGTCGGCTACGAACTGTTGTCTGGCAATGAACTTCCCAGCAGTGCCCCCTCAGATTGGCTCCTGGAGGTGGTCACACAAGAGGACTACGAGCAGGGTGCGTGGGGTTTTTGGGCGGAGCCCCCGCCGCGAAGCGGCTTCGGGGGGGCTTCGCCCCCCAGGATTGCCCCTGTCCGTGTGTCCGTGTGTCCGTCCGTAACGGCAAAACATACAATCTAGACAAAACTATTTATTGCACCTAATAGATATTTGTTATCTGTATTCAGTAAAAATAACTGGAAGCCAAACAAACTTAATTTCGCAACAAACGATTTATTGACCAGCCATTGAACAAGGACCACCTCGGCAACAGCGATAAGCGCTCCTCTATGGTTTGTCCTGGTACCGTAAACAGTATTTAGTGAATTGGTAACAGCGGCGTGTCGCCAAAGGGCTACCTGTGAAAGTCGGCGGGAGCATGCTCGCATCTACTGTGCTACTCAGAGCCCACACGATGTTGCAAGCCTTTGCTATGGGTTTATGCGTATGAACTGTAACGCAAACGGGTACGGGATACCTCGCTTATAAGCTAACATGTCATGTGACGGCGCAATGGCTGAAGTCCTTCTGAGCACGATGCCGAGATTGAGGAGCCTGACCTCCTCATCATGTTAGTAATGTAGGTGAAACTCTGCGGGACCCTGAAAGCACTTCCATGTGGCAGATACGCCGTCGATTTGGGTTCTGTATGCTAAGGCGTGGGTGTTATCAAGCATGATAAGACGTTACTAAGTACTCGATTGAACAGGCGTAACCTAACAATGTGTGCAATGAGTGAGGACACAATGTACGCCATGGGTGAACAAGGCGGCCGGCCTCGGCTGGACAAGGGGCTCTGAGCCCGTCTAGCCATGCAACGAGCACTAAAACTACAGTAAACAAGGGGATTCAGCGTCCGTATAACGAGGTGTGTTAGGTCAACTGGTGCCGTGGAGTCACAGGAGCGCATTCCAGGTCTATAAGGCCCATAGGGTTGTGCGTCGCACTTGAGTCGTTCCACTCCCCTGTAATAATCGCAATCATTCCAGTGGTGATAATACGTTCCTGTACTAAAGAGGAGGGGCTCCGCCCTTTTCCAGCTTTGAGGAAGCTGAAACCCCCTTGTTGGTAGGTGCATGGTTGAGACATGGAATCATGACATACGTCTGCAACCCTCTCTAACTAGGGCGTCAGGACAAATGGACTCTTTTGGACGAGCGGAGGAGCCAGGTTTTCCCTGGGCGCTTCCACGCCCTAGCTTACACCCGCTTCACTTCCTTTGCTGGAGCTGCCGGCCCGCTGGTCCGGCGTGTGCGGCTAATCATCACCCAAGTTGGCGGTGGCAGCACCAAAACGCAGCTAGCGTGCCTGAACCTCTACACGGTGCGTGGTTGTTAGGTAGTGTGCGGCGGGGAAAAACGTACACATGTCATCTAGGTGGAATGACGTGAAACAACACTTGTATGTATGCTTGCTGTGCCATCGGCTCAGGCTCCATTACCCTCTTTCTGCCACCTTACTCAGGACCCTTACGATGTTGAAGCATCTACATCCGGGAATGGCACCGAAGCAAGCATAGATCCCCTCATCAGCCGCCTATCCTCAATGTTAATGAGTTATGCAGCAGTGGATGCCGTTGCCCTGGAGCAGCTAAGACGACTGCTAAGCGATGTGGTGGAGGAGCCAGGGAGTGCCACACCCAGGCTGGTAGGTAAAGGAAAGGAAAAGTAAAGAGAGTGGGAACTTGGAAATGCATCTGTCGAGCATATACAAATACCATCAATGACCTGCTACTGTTACAGCAATTGGTGTCGTGAACCAAAGTTTATGGTATTAGACGCTGTGCTCTTCGGTCTGGCAGGTGCGCTGCTCCATGGTGACGGCCCTGATGGAGAACCCCCTGCTGGTGGAGGTGCTGCTGCACACCGCACGCTTCCACCCAGTGCTAGTGGACAAGTCAATCGCCGGTCTCAGATTAGACCGTGACATGCCCAACAGGAGGAGGTCCGACCCTCAACCAGAGGAGGAAACGTACCTAATGCTGGCATTCGATGCTGACAAAGAAGAGCTGAAGTCCATCCAGAGGATTCTGAATGTGCTGAAGAAGGCCGGGTGGCAACCATTTCTCGAAAATATTCCATCGCTGCACACTGCAGGGATGGCTGGCGTGCAGGAGTGTCAGGAGGTAATGAGGCAGATCATTTAGTGCAGTTGCTTGTTTGTTGCCCTTGCCTATTATGTGTAGGGTGTCCAAGATAAACCAATGTTTGTGCACTCGGTAAGCCAGTATTGTACATATGTAGGGTTACAAACTGTATTAAACATTTAGGCGTCCTTACGTATTACTGATATTATTAATTCGATTCTTAGGATTGGGATTGCCAGCTGACAATGCGCCAAACCATGGCTCCACAGGGACAGAAAGGCAGTTTGCTCACGGTAGGCAATGCCTTTTATTTGTAGGGCCACGTGAGGGTCAACATGGAGAGTGGACGCCAGTGGATGTCCATTGGCCATGCCTGCCGCCAGCATGATACACAATGAAGACAGCCAAATGCCTCATCCCTGCAATGTATCTGTTGCCCACATGCTTCGGCACAAATTTCCGTTGTGAAGCCATCACGTGTTGACATTTACAATTCGAAGGCAGAAAGGTTTCCTCATGTCTCCTCATCGCCTGTTTCAATTAAATACTTAATTAAAACAATATTATATATGTTAAGCTCCTTGCAACCCTAAAAACGTATGCTTCCCTTGCTACATGTTCATCCCCAACAACGCCTGCCAGAGATGATGGCATGGGTACATGTATCAGAGCCGCATTCAGTACATTCTATGCTTGCTGCTTCAGTTGCTTTTTGGTTTTAAAAGTATGCGAGCTGTCTATAATCTCTATCTTAAGAAAATTACTACAAAGTCAAACAAACATGACTCACAACAATCACTTTCTTGACTAGCCATTGAGAAGGACCACTGCAGCGACACTGATAACCACTCCTCTATGATGTTTACCCGGTACCTTAACAAATTACTTTAGTTGATTGGCAACAGTGGTGTGTTGAATGTCGACGACACCTATAAGTCGGCGGGACAAAGATCGCATCTACTGATAGCCGACCCCGTCTGTGAACTTATGTATGCCATCAAATTGAAAGTCTGTTGTGTAAGGTGGTTCACAGTAGCCACACCGACATCACGGACCTAAGGATACACCTTCCTTGCGAGATTACCTGCTGTCAGTCGACCCATCATCAGCCTGCCACTCTCTCACGTCTTGCAAAACAACCAGGCTTCAGCGCTCTTGCCCCTGCCCTACAAACCCCTTCTCCCTTAGATCTTAATTTGACCCTGCATTGTTTGGCCAGGCTCATTAGGCTGCACAGATAACCTCACCGCCTCCCCTCCCCGCAGATGCCCGGCCCCTTTAGTGCCAGTTCAGCACTCAGTGCCGCGCTGACGCAGAT